ACATTACATATAAATAGAAGCTTCCAATACATTAGAAAAAAAAGTCACCGGTTGAACCGGTCGAAGAGAGGAACAAGTTGACCGACACGTGGCCATGTGTTGGAATGTTATTTGTGCATGTGAATGTTAAAAAGACTGTCCCTAAAATATGTAACACTTTTCTACCAAAAATGTCGAGGACAATAATTCGAACCCTTTGTTTCTCATCGATCGTCGAGATATGTTTGGTGCCAACTTTTTATTTTTATTTTTATAATATTATTCTGATTTATTAAAAGTTTATATTGCTAATGGAAAATTGAATAAATTAGATTGATATATTGTTTTTGAGCAGCTCGAATTTACGATGATACTAAAAATTTACAAAAATGTTATTGTTAGTTGGCGTGTCCTTGTACATATGTACATGGGCGGATCTCGAAAATTTTATCAATGGGGGTAATATAAAAATTATTATAATTTAAGGAATAAATTTAAATTTTTTATGGGGGCATTTAATAATTTTCGTTAGAAATTTATGAAATTTTTCATAAAATTAAGTTTTTTAAATAAAATGAGTGGGGGTACATGCCCCATAGCTTATAACATAGATCCGTCTATATATATGTATCTATATGTTTATGTGTGTGTACATATATGGCATGTAAATGTGTAATATATATAAGTGTATATATATATATATATATATATATATATATATTATTTTACATTTAGCATGAGGAAAGGAGGCGACTTGATGCTTTAATATCGGATAGTCACATGCCTAGGAGTTATAATTACAGTGATATGAAAACTCTTTGGAATACTTACGGCTGTACATGTATCGAATCTAAGACTAAATGCATGTGATGATTAATATTCCAATAATATTTTAATTTGGAGATGATGAGAATTAAACTCGGGAATGTAGGCCATGCCGTTGATATTTTGGTGTAAGCTGTGTTATTAAGGAACATTAATAACGTTAATTATAAGGGTTTTTTTTACCAACGTTAATAACGATACTTATGCATATATCTGAAATTAGTGACATCTGGCTTTTTTTTAATATCTGAAATTGATATATAATAAATGGATTGATGTCGTGAAGAATAAGGCATTGCATGTATAAATATGCCTCAAACTAAAATTACAAACTTTATAAAACTTAATTTTTTTTTTATCAAAGTAAGAGATTATTGGAACTTTTGAGCAAATAAGTTATGCCCTTTGATTTTCTTGATTTTTTTAAGGTGATCCATGAACTTGTAAATATAATCAATAGTACGATTTCATGATTAAATTCAACCCCTCAAAATTCAAGCACCAAACTTTTGCAATATTACAATTCGGGTACCAAACTCTGAAAAAGTTTACAATTATTCCGAAATTTAATACATTCATATAAATAACCCATATTCAAACATTGGATATTACAGGGTAATTACAAAAGAAATAAAAGTCACGTAGGGTTGTTAGAATAAATTGTGTACAGAAGCCACCAAACTCTTCTCTCTCTCACACAGACACACACATATATGATATATATATATATATATATATATATATATATATATATGTATATATATATGTTCTTAATTTTAATACTTGCCCCCAAGAGAGAGTTGTGTCACTCCACGCCATTGACTATGTGGGAGAGAATCCTAAGCATTTAATTACGATTAACCCTAATTATACGGTTATTAATTGTGTTATGAACGAAAAATAACATAAATTTCCTAATTACGAGCAAAGAAAACGTCTTTCCATTAATATTCTCTCGTGATGTGACAACATTCTTACCCGACAATCATAATCAAGTTCATTCAAAATTTTATTATTAGATAAACATATTTTCGTTATATTATATGTTTGGAAATAATTTAATTTTTAATTGTTTGTATATTAAATAGACCATTTTTTTTTACAATAATAGGTAAATTTTTTCCCGTTATGATGCCGAAAAAAGTAACCTTTTTTACAGAATTGGAATCCATGTGATCTTTTACTATATGTACTAACCATCTTTTTCCTTTGATTACTCTTATGGCAATCGCTAATTTTTTTTATGTCTGTAATTTAATAATTATGTTTACGCCTTTTTGTTCAAAGACTAAAAACCCTACATTATTTGACCAACAATCAAACTAAAGCTAATTAATAAAATGTTTTACTATAAAAAGGTTAATCTGATTAAAACTTTTTGTTCTAACTAATTATGATATTTTATATTTTTGGCCCAACTAATGTATAATATTTATATAAAATCACTTATATATATATATATATAATCATTTTGGTTTAAGGATATATAATAAATATATTATAAAGCGAGTGAACCATCCCACAAGGTATGTATTGTCAGAGTTAGCATCCTCGATATCGTTTTTTATTTAATTATAGATGTTGTATTTTTATCTTTTCTAAGGTGTATTATTACCATATAACACTTGAAATGATGAAACAAATAAGAAAGGGTTATGGTCCGTTTTTTCCATGAGGTGGGCCAACCAAGACTAGACTACATCTGTATGCACGACATAAATTGAAAATTTAACCCAAAAAAAAATATACGGAGAACTTATACTTATATATATATATATATATACATAGTAATTTCTTCACAACCGTAATAAAAAAATAAAAATTTAATAATATATAAAAATGTAATATTTAAACTTAATTTTTAATTAATTGATCCATATCAATAATTACTCGCGCCTTTTGTCTCTATCTCTTTTAATTAGAAAAAGGCATACAAATTATACGAACTTTTAATCTTCGGAGAATGCATGCATCCGTAATTTTTGGAAAGAGTAACGACGGATATCATTTTGTGCTGTTCGTGTCTAAATGCAATTAGCAAAATAGGATAATAAAAGAATTTTAATGATGGACAGAGATTGATCTACAAAATTTATATCAGTTTGAATTATAAATAGTAAGTTATATAACTCGGATTATGTGGTGACACCAAAGTATATAACTTTATATATGTTACACTTTTTCGTTATGTACAAGTATTTTTTTTAGAAATCATATTTAAATTGGAAAGGTAATGCATCTTTTCAATAGTAATAATAATATTATTATATTATTATTAGTCTCCTCATATGCGTCAATCCTCCTCGAATATGACCTGCCAAAGGTGCAATCGCACCACATTTGGTCTCACATGCTAATTCTCATTATTGAGATTTCACATGCACCATAATCAATATATATATATATATATATTGATAATATATATATATATATATTTGATAACTGAAAGGTTCATCTAAACCTTCGCCCCAATCTACATCCCCTAGACCCTCGGCATAATTTATATGCCCTGAATCCGGGAGCAACCTTTTTTGAATACTACGTTTAAAACATTACACCTCTCTCCCCACATACGAGATCGAATGCTTGACCCGAAACACTAGGTGCAACTGGCTAGCCACCCGACCC